TTATTTGTAGATCTGTATTCCATTAAAGAAATTCACTCATGAAAAATCTTTATCTTCAATATTGTAGGTGTAGAAAGACGGAGAAAATAATTTGAACTTTTGCAATTTTCGAAAAATAAGCGATTTGAACGAAATACTACCGGAACCTTTCCCTTAAGCATCCTTACGCTACCCTAGGACAAAGTTGAATCTAAAAATTTGGAGGCATTTATGAGAAACATTTAGAAAATACTTTTGAGACTTAATGTAAAGTGCCGCCCAAAATAAAATAAAAATATTCATTTTCAATTCGCAGAGCTTCGAGATCCTGGAAATCGATAGGTGAATGTACATTTTGGAAAAAAAATCAGTTGAACCGTTTAAGCAATAGTGTAGATAGAATACTGGGTAGATCAGCGCCGGATCTCGTCATCCAGTCTGGGAAGATCACTACTTCCTCAATAAAACATGCACTATACTTTCTTAATGATCTTTGAAGTTGACGCGCCTGGAATCACTACTCAGTCAACGAATCGCTGCGTTCAACGGAAACTGAGGTTGTGTAAACTCAGCCTTAAAAACTATCGCCGCCCGCCCCTATGCCACGCCGGCTCAGTTTTTTTTCAAAAGCCACTTGCCCTTTACCGGGGGAGACAGCCCAGAATAGACCCAACCTAATCCTCAAAACCCAACGGTTCCGGCGTGTTAATAAAATTATTCACGCACGTATTCACATCCGAGGACTTTCCCGGAGGCCCAGGAAGAAATAATCTTTTAATAGTCTAACACGCGTCCTTTCCGTTTCATCACGTGTTGGGGCGTGTAGCAGAGGAGCAGGGGAGACGCCTAGGTAGAAAGCTTTGGAAATATGCGATATGCGCACCAGGAATAGGCTTGGACGTGAGTGTAGCCCACAGTGTTAAGAGTGAATGAACCAAGTTCAGGCCATGCACATTTCACGTGACAGTCGCGACTATTCATGAACGTCACCAGCTGCACTGGAGGCGGCTGATGGTCGGAAAAGGGCGGTGTGAATGGGCTTTCTAAAGGCGTCTGGTATTAATTATATCCTCACCGAACGGCGGAAGTTAATCAGAGCCTTTCAAGACTAACAAGGGATTAAGTCAAGGATGTTGTTTATCCCAAACACTCTTCAAAATACGTAGTACATCAATCTTGAGAAAAATGACAAAAAAGTGCACTTTAAATGAGAATTTAGATATGAGAAGAAAATATTCAGACTTAATTGTTCGCTGACGATAGAATTATTCTAGCAGAAGATGTAAATTATTATTTCCCACATCACAAGAGGCTACGTCATATCCCAAGAGGGCACCGTCATGTGTTAGGGCCACTTCACACGGAGCCACTCAGCAGCGCTTCCGATTGACGAGTTTGTTGACAAAGCATTGGTTTAAATGGTGATATTCACACGAATGACGTAGTTACACTGCCTTTTAAAACCCCCGACACCATTACCGCAGGCGCGCGTTTGCGCCTCCGCCAGCAGAACAGTTCTAAGTGACAGACTTCACCTTAGACCACTGGGACGCGCTACTGAACCGGTTTTTAATTGCATGCTGCCTTCCGATCGCCGGTGGTGTAAATCACGAATCCTTCATCGCTCGCAGTCAAAGTTGCTCGGCGGTGGCCACGTGTGAATGTAAAATGTAAATATTTAATTATCGTATTAATTATACTTATTTACCGTATATCGAGGTATATCGATGTAACATTTTCAGGGACCTATATCTTTGCAGTCATGGTATTTTGGCTCTGCCACTTCTCGATGGCGCCACCCAGTGACTTCGTGTGAAGGCAGCCTTAGATGAACGAAACCAAGATAGGATCACTGCAATACCTAAGTACGAAATTTAGAGGACTCGAATTGAGGTCTTCCTGTTTAGAAAAGGAATGTTTTGGTGTAATATGGAGATATAAAAGCTTCGTCATATGGATATCACTTTCCCATTTGAAATCATTCCAGATAATCCCCTAAACATAATGTAATAAATGTAAACATTAAATATTTTCCTAAGTATACGTATAGCAAAAATACAACTAATGTTAATAGGATGTTATTTCTCCTATTTCAATTTGAAATTGATAATCGAAAGGAAAAAGACGTTTTAATTCCGACGTCGTGAGTTTTTCGCCTATTTAAACAGAGTGTGTCATTTGTCTTACTTTGATGACTGAAATTCAAATAAATATAGCAGAATACCAAGAAAGATTTCGAAATGTAAGTATTTGATATGGTTGTAATATGTAGGTTATTAATAATTAAAATTGTTATTGTATAGATTATTAAGAACTAATAGTGTATACATTTTTTTAAATTTAAAAACCGAAGGAGAGTATATTTACAGTTACATGACAAGATTCCAAGTAACACAAATTTCTGTGAAATGACCATAATGTGATGATATGATGGCTCCAGAATAGATTAGTTTGATCCCGAGTTTGCTAGAGGAGACATGAAAAATTGAACGGCGCAGGTGCTAGATGAAATGTCTGGTGATTATAACATTGATTAGATTCGTGTTAAAGCAGTCTATATTTTGAATAGGTTGGCGATATTTAGGAAGGTTTTAGTATGGTTTGAAATTAAATTAGAGGTTATTAACTATGAGACTCATGGGAGGAATGCATTGTAACGACATCTGTTAAGTGGAGCTCAACAGTCGCTGATAAAAAAATTAGTATTAGTAACAGCCAAGATCCTTCACTGAGCTCTTGCAACCATCGAGACCGTCAAAGAAGATGGCGTCTATTGGCGTTGGAGAGCGTAATGTTCGGTTTGACTGATCGAAGTTGTAAATATATTTTGAGGGAAATCCTGTGTAAAGTTCAGGTGCTTCTATTGTCAACAGATGACAGAAAGATGTAGGGACAGACTGAAGTTAAAGTAACACTTTTTAGATATCAACACAATGTGTGTTGCCGTTTCTGGAAGGCAATTTTTTCAGCATTACGTACGTCACTTTTTTTAATAATTCGAAACAATAATGTAGTAAGAGAAATCCCCTGTTACTAGTTTTTTTCTCGGTTTTGTTTGCCTATATCCCATTGCCTATATGTATTTTTGCCATTTGTATGCCTATATGGTATAATGCCACAACAAAACATTCATTAAAGTGAAATTAATATAGTGGTAATAGAAACACCGACCTTATCATGATGCCTGATTTTAGAGAACGGGTTAATTTCAAATCTCATGTGACTGTGCGGGCTAAAATTTCATCGATCTCATTGCATTCTACACCAAAGTTGTCCATTAACTGATTTTCTAATTATAGGGGCTACTCATTATATAGAAGGGGATTGAAATAAGTCATGAGTTACTCTATATTCATGTTACGCCGTAATTTAACGATTAAATCATCTTCAACGTATCTCTCAGGAAAGTTTGCAAATTAAGCACAATTTCTTGCCCTTTACACATTAGTGATGGTAAAATATTGAACAGTTTGACGGACTTTCTGTATTTCCTAGTAATGACATTCTCACGAAAAAGTTATTTTCCCTTGTAACAATTAGACATTCGGCGTTTATTTACAAGAAATAATCCAATGAAAATAAAATTTAATAATTACTATGTTCTACCTTCTAAATTTTATTCGAGGAATTAAGTGATTGGTCTATTGCATTACCAGGAATAATATGTTCATGCACCTGAAACAAGTCTTACAAATAAATACAATGGTTTACAATGGTTTGGAACTACTAACAAATAAGGAACGTAGAAAATAATTGAAATACTTCAGAAAAACATACGTTCTTCTAAACAATTGAGCTAATTACTATTTAGAGATTGTAGAATATTATGTTTTATTCCAGTAAACTGATTTTTTATGTCATTAAATCGAAAACTTGCAATCATTAAAGTTATGAAGCAGTTGTTGAAATTTTAAAAAAATACATATTTAAAGAATTATACTACTTTTTCCCCACGGGAATTTTCCATCATGGATAGCATTTTCTTGACAACGGAAAACGCACTGGACGATTTTTCATAGCACACATCTGAAAATCCTAATTTTTTAGTAAGTATTTTCCATCTATATATTTTCATTGCTAAATCATTATATTGTTAGCAATCAATTAGATCATTAACACTCAGAATGATCGCACCACTACTTAATCACATTAATATAATCATTATCGACATTCAGGTGAGTCACCTAACTTCAGCGCCAACTGTAATTTTTGAACAGTGTAAGTTATTGCAATACAGTTTTCACGGAAGAGCAAGAGGGAACAGGATTAATTGATGTATATATTTGTTTTCATTTTTTCACTTATTTTACAGTATTTCACAAGATATTGAGGTAACTGTTTTGTCAAATGGAACTAAACATATTTTTTAGTCTGCTAGGACGAATGAAAGAAGAAAAACAAAGTTTAAAACTCATTGTCATATGGGATAGACATTTTTTGAGTATTTGTTTTTGCAATTCGTATTTAACGGATATTTTGAATGTAACAGTTCACTGCCTAAGGTCATACAGCGCACTCCCTGCTATGCGCGTTCTGGGCCTCACAATATCCGTTAAACTCGAGTCTGAACAAAATAACGCATAAAATGGAAATACATGTATATATATAAACTAGCCCCATGCTCCCATGACTTCTGTGAAAACTGCATTGCAAAACTTTAACCGTACAAAAATTGCAGGAGGTGCTAAAGTTTCGTGACTCACCTGTATATTTGCAGTAAAATAACAAAACGATTTGTATATAACTCACTGTAATTAATTTCATTTAAAAGTCGAGATCCGTTGTATTTTTTGCAAGTTTAAAAATTTTTGTGGTTTTGGAAATTTAATACAAGCAACAATACTATTATTTAAAAGAACATATGTGTCCAAACGCAGGTAATATGAAGAAAACGTAACGAACTACAATTTGATTGCAATTGTTCACTAATCCCTGAGCAATGCAAAGGTGTCCGAGACGAGTAAAAGGCGAGTCCCGGTAGGGGGGAGGGGGCGGCGGGTAGAAGAAGCGGCTGGCCACCTGAATTGAGGCGGCAGGCGGCGGGGGGGCGCGGCGGCGCGGGGGCGCGGCGGCGGCGGCGGCAGCAGCCCCCAGGCGGCGGCGCGCCCTCCCGTCGTCACCAGGAAGTGCAGCGGGCGCGCGCACGGGCACGTGGACAGCACGGCCGCGCGCGCCGACTCCCCCGGCTGCGCACCCACGCAGCACCGCCAACGGTCAATCACTCTGCTCCCGTGCGAATTATACCGCGCCCTCGCTTCAAATGTGACACTACTCAAAAGTCTTCATTTCTGAGTTGCTACTGTGACACAGGCCTGGCGGCTTTGGTCCGCACTACGCAGCACCGGGTTCCATTTCCGGTCGAGCCAAGACAATAGTGTACGTTTTCCTGGCAATGCCCCATTATATGTTACTGTGTGCCGATTAGAAAACTCACTTCTCAGGTTGAGAAGACCAGAACACGGCGTGGGGATGTCTACATGCTAACCACACGTACCCCCTTAACCCACGGCCGCGAGGCAGGGGCCGTACGCGGGCCGACGCGCCAAGTACTACAAACAAACTATGACACAATCACGGAAACAATTCTTGACCAGTCTGCGAAAGTGAGATTCTATAACTTCACAATAAGGGCACAATAATTGGGCAGTTGTGTGGTCACCAAACGGCGGCTAATATTGTATGACTGATCAAGACACTAAAAGTGACATAATTAAAACCAAGTTCAGTTCTAAAGGGTTAATGCTAGAAATAACTAAACCACCATTTAAACCCAGGTATTATATCTTTTGTCATTAGTACAGATAAATTTGTTTGTTTTAGCTATGTTTCATTATTGCTACAAACGTTTTTCATGATTTATGGAAAACCTTACCTTTCGAGTTGTGTCACTTTTGTAGGAAGGGTGCGGTATGCCGAGTGATTCTTGAGTTAAAGTCAGCAAAAGAAAACCAACCTTTTACATTGCTGATGTTTTGTCCATTTACTCGGCCTCTATCAGGACTAATAATATCTTAATGATACCTTTCAATTGTTAGGCACGTATAATTTCTTTGTTGTAACCTACTTGTAAAAAAACACTTTTTTCTTTTCTGTAACGGTTTCTTTACGTAATTTATAACCCTGACAGGTAAAACGCTTTAATGCCAACAATTTTTTATCTATAAATATAATGGTCACCGAACATACTTCTGTATATATAATTTATCTATTTTTGTAGCACTGAAGGCCGAATAAATGGCCGAAACATCGGCAATGTTAAGTGTTGGTTTTCTTGCATTGCCCTAAACTCAAGAACAACTCGACCTAACATTCAAATTATTCATGCAACAAAATACAGTGCGCCAGGAAAGTCTCTCCTCACGGAGCCGAGTCACGGCCTCCTAAAAACTGCATTTATGTTGGGAGCAGCCAGATTACGAAAAATAAGTAAAGAGGGTAACACTTTCAGCTTTTGTTAAGAATGTATTAAGAATGCAATTTACATTTTGTTATGTTATAAGCTGCAGCTCATGCTATCAACATAATTTCTGATGTTGAAGTTTCTGAATGAACACCCTCACCAGCAAGGCGAGGCCACTGTGAAGAGACTTTTCTGGTGCATGTTATTATTCTATTCCTCTTAAATATCTTCTCAACTATCAAAGCTTGTAACCTGCAAGTTGCAAAATGCCATAGTTACAGAAACGAGGTGAATTACATGGAATTTAGGCAAGAACTATTAATAATCTTTTATTTGAAATAGAATCGAAATTATTTTATGAGTATTCAATCAATTATAAAGATTTTTTTCGATATTCACGCTTTTTTTCATGAGGGTATTTTTAGAGCAATTGTTATTATCATAAAAGCCCAATACTCTGAAACACACTTCATACTGTAATCATAGGATTGGAACTACAGTTCCCTTTCATTGCAAGAGCTAAGCAGCAAGCGCCTGAGAAGTATGTTACCCGCCGTTCAGATATGACTCACATGCTCGTACATCACAGACTAGCTCGTCCCAAAATTCAGTAAGTAATGGAAGTACAACTGTTCAGGCAATAACTGTGTTTGTATTATATAATAAATTACCATTAGAAATTAAAAAAATACGTTAAAATTAAAGAATTAAAAGAAAAATTATTAAATTTCTAAAATAAATCATTAATTGTATAATACAGTATACTTATACATGTAAACACCGTATATAACTATGTATTTTTAAAACACAAATCGCAAAAGGCTAAAAAATAAAATCTATCTATTTATAACTGTATATTCTCCAAACTTCATTTCATGAATTAAAAAGAGATGCTTGAAATATTTGTTTGGTCGCGTAGTTGTAAAGAAAAAAGAATGCGCCGGTGACGTACCCGCAGCGAGTGCTCGAGGCCCTGCACCAGCAGGTAGCAGTGCGAGGGCGCGTGCCACTTGCGCACCGCCTCGCGCGCCAGCACGTAGTGGCTGTCGATCTCCTTGCCCTCCACCGACACCAGCTCCGCCTGCAACGCAAGCACATCTCTCCTCACTCCCCTGGACCACACACACACACACAACTCAACAGGGACAACGCAACATTGGTGCGGGTTAGCAGACTTAAAACTTAGCAAACTGAAATTCATGACACATCCTCTCCTTTAGCTCGACAGCCCGATAACGACCTCGGCCGACCAGACTCTCTGCCATGGGATAAGGCCGAGGGTTCATGATGAAATTCCATTCGTGTTGTTAGAACGAAGATCCATCCACCATATACCAGTCTTCATAACCTTAGGATGGGCTTTCTCGTCACACAGCAGTAGATTCTGGGACATTTGTAAGGAAAGTAAACAGTTATAATATTGTCACGGCTGAGAATAGAATCCGAACTTTGGGCGTGGAAAGCGACCACGCTAACCAACGAGCCTCTGAAGGCTTTTTCATACGTACTCCGAAATACATTAATTTTCATTGGCAACGCTGCGCGTCCAAGAACGCCCTTTAGAAGCGAGTGTCGTTCTAACAGAGCGTCAACAAATCAGCCACTTCCAAAACAGTTCCTCTAAATCCAAGTTGGGATGAAGTTTCAAAGGTTCTGGGTTGCTAAGGAAGGATTTCTGCGCGAACAAACGGCGCATTCATAATACAAAGTATAGCAACGCAATGCACAAACGAACAGTGAAGACAGCTACCGACAGAAGACCTTTATAAGAGGTTACAAGGGATTCATTTTCAAACAATTGTATGAAACAAATGTTTTAGAAAGACCCGGAATACAGAAAGAATTTCACGGAGAATAGAATCATAATTTCAACATTATTAAATGAATTTCTCGACCTACAGAAACACTGCAGTAGACTCCACAGAATTTTCATTACAGCAGGAAATGTGAAACGCTGGGCTTCTCCGGAATGGACAATGGCTTTGTACATACGACTATTCGCAGAAGTCGTAAAAAGCAAAATTTTCATTACTAGAAACTTTAATAACGAATATGTATGCCAAAAACATTAAAAATAACTTTTTCACAACAATCTTTTTTGAACCGCCTGAGTTTTGCTACATACTAGTGAAAGTTTAAAGGGTCAGAATTTATAACGTTCTTGCATAAGTCCGTTGCTCTACCGTTGGCTTGATTATCATTGCACATAAAAAACTAGTGATGCTACAACAGCACTTATACGCATCAGTAAGCGTTACGAAAAACTATAATGCAGACATTTCTATCCCTATAAACACATCCCAGGCATCACTTCGTAAAACTCAGTAGTCATTACTAATTGTACCTCAATAGGTACGAAAATTTAATTCATTTAAAAGTAACATCAATTCAAAATAAACAATCGAAACTCCCTTCGATACACTCAGAAACACCGCCACCGCCATCCCCACAAATATCGCATCAAGTTATCCTGGGACTCTCAAACTGTCGTGTCACCGCGTTCCTAATTTATTGCAACGAAATAACTCCTGAAAGTCTCTAGCAAAATAAAGGCAAGAAATTCGAATTTGCAAATATGCAAAATTAAGCTAAACTGTTGATATTTAAAAAAATGTTCATGAGCATTTATATAACTGGTTTTATTCATATCGCCCTTGTAACGAAAAAGTGGACACACTTTGTTCCGGTATGTAGTAAACAACTTCATCTAAGAAGTTGAGTAGTCAGAAACCACTTTTGAAGCGCCCTTGATGGCGAAAAAGTGATTGACGTCTGTGAATCCAGTATTTTGTACGACATACAAGATGGCGCCGAGTTAACTCCTACGTGTTTCATTCATGTTACTGGGTATGTATTCTATTTCGATACATTTCTATAAATTTTACAATGATCATTAATATTCCTTTGTTTATTTATACCAAAACATTCGCTAATTATATTTGTTCACTTATTTTCATATTTGCAGAGCCACTGAAGATGTGATAAACGAATTCCAAAACACATGTATTACTGATTATTCTTTTTATTAAATTTATATTGTAATATACTCTGTGGTTGAAACCTACTCGTTCCTTAATTAATAAACATATATAATATGTTTTTCACACATCGCATAAAGTGAGACGATACTGAAGTGTTAAATGTGAAATCATGTGTTTGCTTTGAAATAATTTATTTCATACAATCGTTTCTATTGTGTCCCAGATATAATATTTATAGGATAAAAGACGATTGATTTATCACCTTATTTTATGCATTCATGAGGTGATATATTGAATGGCTTTCACCTCTGGTCCCTAGATTTATAGATTCCTTTTACTTTAAAAAAGGTTGATCGCTGATGATGGTACAATAATTCAAAAGCAGGAAGCTTTTTTCGACGTAAGCAAGGCAAGCTTGTGTGATATTATTCTTGCTTGTCTGTATTGCAATGTGTCGGCCCCGTTTCCCGATATTCCCTCGCGTTTTCGGAATATTTTACTTCCAGCGTTCTAGCGGGCTGAAGTTGATATTGCCGGAATTCCGCAAAGGCGCCCGTTTCTCGACGATAATCTCTGCAGATATGCGCCTGCGCGGATGCTACCGCTTCCGTCGCCGCAAGGGGGGGGAGTCCGAGGGACAGGGGTGCGCTGATGACGCAGGCGACGCCTCCCCCGAGCAATTCCCGCCTCCCCTCACGCGTCAAGGAAGGAAACTGTAGAAAGCATGGCGTAGCGACGCCATTCACCGCCTGCGTCTCAACCCATCTCTTTCGCACTTATTAGATAAGTCTGTGGAAAGGCATCGCGTGACTACTGGTCACCGAATTCGTTTTGGCAAAACAAAATAACTTGGAAAGAGAAGGGTCGTTTCTAGAATCTCACTCAGCGCATCTGTCGCGAACTCAGACAATGGCTTGGAGCGCTAACAGCAGACCCAGCGGACGCGATCAGAGGTTTACTTCATGTCCGGGCAGCCGCCTCCTTTGCGGACCCTGCCAGCACGCCAGCGGTTTGCACGTCGGCCGTTGTGAAAAGTGTGAGTTTCTTCTACGGAACCTCGCCACGACCCCCGTGCCAATAACACACATGCGTCACTGAGGTTCGTAACAAAATCGGTGTGCGGTGTTGCCGCGAATGTGTCGCCCGTGTGAAAGTCTACGTATAACACACGGGCAACGAGGACCAACGGACTGCGGACGGCAGTCAGCGGTGCCGTTGGGCCAAACTGTGAGCAGCGTCATGCAAGTTGCGTTGAATCCCAAACGTGTGGGGCCGCGAGATATCCTGCCGGAACTACGTTACAACTGGCGACAAACATGGTACGAGCGACAAAACAGGCGAAGCGAACCGTCACATCATTGTAAATGTGCTCTTTCGAGCACGCGCCGCTCAACCTGGTTTGGAGGAGTAAATTGAAGATTCACGGCTCATATCCACCAAATCTACTCTTGAATTATTGGGTTTTTGTATGTCGCATGCGTGATTCAGGCTGTAGCGAAGCAGTAAATTCACGAATTGCCAACAGAAAGCACTGATATTTTGTTGTTTTGTCTGTGTTTTTCGCGTAATCTGTTTATTGTGTGTACTTGCTTTGTGTGCTGAGTAAATTGTAACACGTGTACGCGTAACTGTAACAGAAAGATGCCCGGAAACGAAACTGATCCGGAGGGCTGGTTTCTGAATTCAGATCAGGAACCAACGGACATCGCTGATATTATGCCCGCAATTCAGGCCCATATGACACAGCTCGCCGCGAATCATGCAATCGAAGAATCAGCTCGTAATACGGACACAAAGGACGAATCAGCTTTCCGAAATTCAACAGTGAAACAGCTGAAAATCAGGCACAAACTGCGTATCTGCTCGCCGAAACACAAGCACGAAATACAGAAACGAGACCAAAACACCCGTTTGAAACTCAGAAGGATTCGAGTTTATTTAAATCGAAAAAGGAATATCAATTTTGGAACAATCGGCTTAATGGTTGAGGTGGTAGCGTTGATCAAAAACAGACATACGGACGTTTCGCCGTAATTGATTTTTCAGTATCAAGGACCAACAAAACATCGATTCTGACTACACAACGGGTTAAGAGGAACATACAAGAACAAGATTTCTTCCCTTTTTCGTTACCAGGGCCAGGCAATATGATTTTTTCCTCCTTTTTCCGGCGCACGATGACTCGTACACTACTTTTCGTTCTTACGAAGTAATGCCAAGAAAGTCTCACGGATGGCATGTGTGAAGCCCGGCTATGGTGCCCGTTCTTCGCGGGGGTTGTGTGTGTGTGTGTGTGTGTGTGTGTGTGTGTGTGTGTGTGTGTGAGGGTCGTGCTGGCGTGCGGTGCGCGTGTTTGTGCGCGCCTCGCGTGCCCACCGCATTCCTCTCCAAAGGCGCCGCCGCCGCCCCCGCAGGCACCTGTTGCTCGCCCTCCGCCGCCGCCCTGCCCCCCGCGGCAAGACATGTGCGAGGGCCGGAAAAGCACTTTTTGTACTCCAACATTCAGAAGAAAAAGCTCTATTCGTCTTATGAAATCGTTCAACCCTCTTCCGGACTTCCATCGCTGCAGAAGCCACCGACCCAAAACTCTACGTGTGTGCGAACTACTGCTGCAAAGGGAATACTGTATCAAAGAGATGGAATACGACAGACAAAGAAGTTCGTTGATTATGACATAAGTGGAAAAATCTGGTGCACATGCAATCTGCAACATTATGACGCTGCCAAAGACCCAGACACGACCCAACATCAATATGCTGAATTATAACCCGGAAACGATGCGGGCTGTGACCTGAAAAAGAGGTTTTCGCATCCCCAAAACTTCACGAGCTGATTTGATACCATAATCTACAAAATTATGATTTTTTAAATGTTCTATTACATTCTTAGAAGTTCCACAAGAAGATTTTCACTTTTAAAACAACGATATAAAAAGTGCTATTTTTGAAGATTCGATTTGTTGCGAAAAACGTTTGAACCCATATATTATTTTTTGGGAGGTGATTTTCACTAGTCTGCGCACTTTAGTTAATAAAAACTTCCCGTTTCGTCCGCCATGGAAGGTATTTCACTACCGCAGCACTAATTTATAAAAGAATTT